AATAAAATTAAATTAAATTTAAAAAAAGATATGGAGAGAGGATGCATCCCTGACGCACTGCTTCCCTGATTTTGAACCCTCTATACACATCTCTCTTTAATTGCCATAGAGTGGAAAACTGACTCATCACTAACCCTCCACTGAGTTTTCAGTCTCACAGAGGAGATTGCTCATCTTGCCCTCAGGGAACTGCTGGTGAATTTGAACTGCCAGAGAGGCACAGACTTTGGGTCAGTAGCGTCCACTGCCTGTGGACTGCCCATGAGGACGCCCTGGTTCAGACAATAGGTGCATCAATTTGTTTTCTCCAGACCTGAGAGTTTCTATTTTCCAAAATCTTAACAATAATAATTTTAAATATTAACCTTTCTCTGGATTTTATAAATTTGAAGTGTCTGCATTTATCAACAATCATATCCTTATATAATTTGCCTTCTTATGCTCATTTCCCTGTTTTTCTACTGAGCTTTCATCTATGTTTTTCTTATTGCTTTCTAAGAACTCTTTGTATATTAGGGATAACCTTAATCTAATACAATGTATGCCTTATGTGTTAGATATTTTTCCTATTTCTGTCTCCTTTAAATTTTACCTATTATTGGCAAATTATCAGAGCATTACTTTTTGGTTAGCAGCACAACACAGTATGGATTATGCCACCAGAACTCTAAGGAGAAATGGTCTAAGGATCATTACTTTCATGAAGCTAAATTCCACCCTGCATTTTTCTATACCCTGTGTTTTGCTTCTGCATTTTGTTTCCTCCATGCTTTAATGCTTAACAAGGTCTTCCCCCCAAAAAAAAAAAAACAAAAAAAAACAAACAAGGTCTTCCCCTGTGCTGACAGTTAATGAGCATATAGTCCTATTTTCTTCCCTCTAGTTGCTTTTTGGTAGGGACTCATTCTTATTGTTCCCTCTCCACCTAAACTGACCTTCCCATCCCACTCACACTGCTGCCACTCTCATAGGACCACTTGCCCCTCTCAGTCCCAGCCTCAGACTCACCTGCAGGAAGAGAGAGGTCTTCTTGGTCGGGTCCCAGTGGAACTCCACTGTGTTGAGTTGAGAGGGCAGCATTTGGGGTTCTATCACCCCCACAGACAATGGCACATCTGCAGTAACAGAATGACCGGGAGAAAGAAGGCTCAGCCTTCCCTGTCCTCAAGGACTTCCAAGCCAGGAAGCAGTCCCAGAAGGGTCTTTATCCTTCCATTCTCACCGATGTCCAGGATGCGGTCCCCTGGCCGGCTCCACCTCCACCCATCCAGCTGCTGCTGTTCTGTGTACTGCAGGCGCCGGTCATGGAACACCACACGCACCACACTCTGCAGGCACAGGAGGGCCTGGCTCAGGTCAGAGGGCACCAAGGCTTTGAGGGACTGGTCCCCATTCCTAGGATAAGTCAGCCATCCTACCTCTAGGAGGCCCCAGGAACTGAGCATCACTGGATCTGTGTTAAGATGCCCGCCTGAGGCTCATGAGCTGTGAAATGAGAGAAGTAACCTAGACATGATGAGCTTCCGTTTCCTCATCTGGCAAATGCGAATGAATGTGCCTCCTTTCCTACCCTCAGTTACTCAGCTCTTCTTTGCAACGCTTATCCGCGTTTGTCTCTTATTGTCATCAAGTCAAAACCAACTCCTAGCGGACCCTCCATTGCGTTCCCAAGGCTGTAAATCACGCAGTAGGAGCTTGTGCATCTTTCTCCGTGAGACATGCTGGTGGATTTGAACGGTCAGAGAAGCTTGGCTTTTGTGTTGGCAACGCCGTGCTCTACGAGTGATGCTGCCAGTGATGATGCCCTTCACCATTTGTAATTGCATATAATTTTTGTCGTGTATGTATTTGTTTCACTATGTAGAATCCATGAGAAAGGAACTTACATCTATTTATCATCAAATCCCTAGCTCATAAAACAGTTTCTGACAAATAAAAGAAAAATCTTTTTGAGAAAAAGCATCACCTGAGTAAATGATGCTGTGTAAATGCATTTCTAAATCTTTCTTCTGTTGCTTCCTGGCTGTGTATCCTTGAGCAGATATTTAGCCTTCCTGTGCCTCAGTTTCTTCGGCAATTCCTGCCCACACCTGAGCTGTTGTGATGGTCAAGTTAAAAGCTGGAATAGAGACTGTTCTACTGGACAATGACATCACAGGGATGACCAGCTACTTGCTCAGAGAGATGGCTATATCCAGACATCACCAGTTCTGTGAAGGGAGTGCACCTACCTTCAACAGCCGGGGATAATGGGCAGAATCCCCCAGTCTGGGGTTGCAGAGCAGCCGCACCTCGTAGGACTGGCCTGAGAAGAATTGAGAGGTGTGTTGAGGGGCAGAGATGATGTCTGCCACCAACCCCCCAGCCCACTCTGACCAGCCTCCTGAACTGTCCAGTCCCACCTCCTTCCCTGCCCCAGGCCCGGTGTACCCTGGTTCAAATAGGTGAGGGTCTCCTCCTGGTGCTTCACGGCTGGTGACGTGGCCGCACAGAGCACATACTGGAACATGGAACAGGGCGGATCTGCCCCGGGCATGCTGGGCAGTTCTTCCTGCTTCAGGTAGGGCAGAGGCAGAGGCTCCCTGCAGAGCACAAGGGCACTAAAGCCTCTGCCCTGTCCAGCCTACCTCCAAAGAGTGTAACCCTCCTCCAGGGACCCTACAGTTTCCTCTAACAAGCACCCAAATCAGCCCCTCTAGCCTCTGGGAGACCTCTCTAAAGCTGCAAATTAGTTTTGTGGCTGTTGTTCGATGATGATGATGATGATGATTATTATTATTATTAATATTATTAATGTGAGTGCATCTAAATTCCAAAATCAATCTCCATAATAGTCTATGTGTTTCCTACTGCCAAAGAGGCCCTTTAGAGTAGTGAGAGAAGATCTTCACCCTGAAACCCACAGCGTCCCTTTTCAGCAGGAAGTAGCTAAGAGAATACGCCATCCCCTTTTCCTTATGACTCAGGGTGAAGTCTCTCTCAGGGAGGAGTGATAGGGAATGGCAAAGGACACACTGACAAAGAAGATTAATCAGAACTGGCTTTGACAAGCACTGTGGCATTTGGACAAGAACAAACTGGGAGGAGGGTAGAGAGAATAGTGCAACAATGAATGAATGGAAACCCAAAATCTCTGTAAATGTTTATGAAAATTAATAAAATGTAGAAAAAAAATATTATTAATGTGTACCGTCAAATTGGATCTGACTGGTACAGGAGGAGATTGTCCCTCCTTCTCTAGCAGAGCATCTGGTGGATTCGAACCATATACCTCTGGGATTACAGTGCAGCTTCTTACTACTAGGCCACCTGAGCTCTGTGGCTGTTTTTTTAAATGGTTGCCATAAGTGGCTAGGTGTCAGGACTTCCCTGATATCTGATACACACTCAACAAAAAGGTCTGGAGTGGATGGGTGGTTAGAGTACGTGGAGATGTTCAGGACTACTAAGCACCAGGTACATTAAACCTCTCTCTCTCAACACCAGAGGAATCCAAGAATAAGAAGTGCACTCTCCTAGCTTAGAACATGTAGCCTAATCCCTACTTGTCCCACCTTCTGATCAGGGAGTCCCTAAGCCCAACCCTTACCTGAGTAGGTTGCTGGGAGGTCCTGGGTACAGCTCTACAGGACTTGGCCACAGGTGCTCTGGCTGGTTGTGCCAAAACAGCATCTTGGAGGAATGGAGCCAACTTTGTGACAGAGGTCTTAGCGCTGGCTTGGGTTGGATACCTGGGGAGTCAGCCTTTATACATAAACACACATGACCTGGAGGGTGGGGCCAGGCCCAGTATTGCTTATTGGCTGAGTACCTGGGAGTTCTAAAAAGCTCCAACCAAAGAGGATAGCCCAAGCTGAGGCAATCAAGAGACTCTAGGGGACCCCACCAATCATTAACCTGCAGGGGAGCTGCTGATGAAAAAAAAAAAATCACAGGGTCCCTCCAGGGACACTGAAGGACATGCTCAGATTTCAAGACTGACCTAGATCCATGGACCTCGCAGAAACCCCAGAACCCCTGGGACCAGAAGCCTCACGTGACCCCTTGGGGGAAGCCTCTCCGCTCCAAAGGACAGGACAATCGGACACAGAGCATCATGAGGACCTACGAAAGCCTCAGCACTGACCCTCTCTCCCTGATAATGTGCGCACAGGCACACGGGGCAGGAATTGTCTTTACACTGGGGGGAGGGGGCTGCCTGGCAGAGGACTGACTGCAGTTTATAGAACACAATCAGCTTGTTGTGGAAACACCTTGGGTGAGTCCGTGGTGCTAGGGGAGAGCCCCATGACCTGTGAGGCAGAGGGGTGGGGAGAAGTGCCCCCTCTTGCCAGTAGCGGCATGGGCTACTGCCCTTTCCCTGCCCTGGGGGCCTGGAGCAGACCATGTTTATAGATAAATACAGCCTGCCTGGGGAAGGTCTTCCTTCCCCACACCCAGCATCTGTTATCACTGTACACAGCCCCATGCCTGCACCCACCCTCGGCCTGTATGTTGGGTGTAAATAGACCTAAGAGTTTGCAGAAAGCAGAGACAGAGCTCTGAAAATGTGGCCTGACCTAGTATGACCCTGGCCATCTAGGCTTTAGGATTCTGGGGGAGAGGGAGGGTCAAAGAGGCATCCCTGTCCTCAAGAGCGGGCACCTCCATCTCCAGGTACTAGGCCCTCGTTCTGTATGTGCTTGCTCTTCTGACGATGCCAAACATAAAGGAAACCAAGAGCTCCAACCAATTGCCTTAGAAATGAGTCCTACTCATGGTGACCGTGGTCAAATGCACAGTCGAAAGGAGAGATTAAAGGTGGGGTCAGTCTTGCCAGTGGGGGCTGAGAAGCCCTTCCAAGATATCCAAGTCTCCAAGATGCTCTACAAGAAATCATTCTTTAGACTGAGTGAAGGGATCCAAAGCTGGGATTGAGGCCGAGAGGTACCCACAGTGTCCGCCCCTGGAAGGACAGAGCAGGACCCGGGGGGTGGGCAGATGAGGAGTGGGGAGGGTCCTGGAGAACGCACAGGGATCCCAGTTGGGCCTGGCGGAGGCTTATGCAGGATGTGAACACAGAAGCAAGAGAAATGATGGATGCTGAATTAAGACACCACCAGGACCTGGTACCAGGAGCTGGGCATCAATACAATACAAGGGCATCAATCTCAAATCCAGAACCCAGCCCTTCACACATTCTCCCTCCACTTCTCCCTGCCCCCCCCCCACTTCTATAGCAGTAGCCACTACTTCGTCCCACTCACCCTGAGTCTCTGAGCCTCTCTCTCCATCCAGCTGGAGTTGGGCCTAACCTTTGTTTTCCTCAATCCTCTCACAGGATGCTTGGAGAAGTAGAGGGAGGCAGTGAAAGAGAAGACCCTCCATAAAATTGCTGCAGGATGGGGCAGGGTCCCCTGCTGTGGTACCCAGGGTCACTGTGAGTCAGACCCGACTCAAGCGCACCTAACAACCATCCTCTAAGAAAAAAAGCTAGTGTTTGAGGCAGATAGAGCTGAGTGGTGGCCCAGCCTATTCTTGTACTGTCTTAGTCAGGCACAAGGCTGAGTAGGAAGAATCTTTAGGGCCCAGAGAAGCCTTAGAAGAACTTCAGTCTAGTCCCCAGATCTGCAGAGACATCTCAGGCTCCATAAGACAAGGGCACCATGCTTGTCTCGTCATCTTTCTGAACCCATTTCCTCACCAAACAAATGAAGTCAACTACAACAATGAAGGAATGGAAATCCAAAGCCTCTGTAAATTTTCACTGAAATTAATAACAAATTTAAATTGAAAAAAAAGAATTAAGTTAGAGTAAGGATGGCAATGGAACCACCTTACCTCTGTAACTTGATTTGTGTCACTATTAGAACCTCTACTCAGAATATTATTGCTTTGAGGAGAGACCGGTCCTTAGAGAGGGACATCATGCTTGGGAGGGTGGAGGGACAGCGCAGGAGAGGAAGGCCCTCTATGAGGTGGATTGATTCAGTGACTGGGATAATTGGGATGGGAGTGTCAGAGACAGTGTGATTGGCACAGGACAGAACGGAGTTTAGGGCTGTTTTACATAGGGTCGCTATGAGTTGCAGGCGACTCGATGGCACATAACAACAACAAACAACAGGCTGCAACACTTCCATGATAGGATATGAACATGTAGGGCTAAGCACAATTGATAACAGTGCATCTAAATTCCAAAATCAATCTCCATAATAGTCTATGTGTTTCCTACTGCCAAAGGGGCCCTTTAGAGTAGTGAGAGAAGACCTTCACCCTGAAACCCACAGTGTCCCTTTTCAGCAGGAAGTAGCTAAGAGAATACGCCATCCCCTTTTCCTTATGAATCAGGGTGAAGTCTCTCTCAGGGAGGAGTGATAGGGAATGGCAAGGGACACACTGACAAAGGAGATTAATCAGAACTGGCTTTGACAAGCACTGTGGCAATTGGACAATTAAAATAGACATTGGGAGGGGGAAAGAAGAACGAACTGGGGAGGAGGGTGGAGAAAACAGTGCAACAGTGAATGAATGAAAACCCAAAATCTCTGTAAATGTTCATTAAAACTAATAAAATTTAATAATAAAAAAATTAAGTCAAGGACACCCTCCCATTCAGGGTAGCAGTGAGGATTGGAGGAAATTCTGGGGAATCCTGTTTTAATCCTTAGGTGCTCCCCATGGAGGGAGGACCCTAGTGTCTCTCTCCTGGAGTCTAGTGTTGGGCAGAGAACTAAAAACACTCCCTTTCAAGAATTCTTAGTGTGGTATTTTTTTTCTCAATTTAGGTGAGATTCATGTAAGATTAACTATTTTAAAGTGAATTATTTTGTAGTATTTAATATATTCACAATGAGCTCTACATTTTCATCCCTACAAAAGAAGCCTCTTACCCATAGGCACTTACTCCTCCTCTCCTCATTCTCTCTCTCTCTAAATCTTGGCAACCACTAATCCATAGTGACTTCTTTCTTTAAAATATACATTGTTCACCCAAAGTACCCTATCATTTTCTAGGTCATGGCATAACTCAATCCTTATAATATTCACCAGAGTTTCCTAAGCCAACAAAGTTACTTTTTTTTTCTGTAAAAACTGTTGAGAAGTAAAAATCCCTTGTCCTTCAGGCTAACTGAAATGTTCTGTTTTGTTTTCGTGCCCAGACAAACTTCCAACCAGGAGAATTGGAGAGTGAAGTGTGTCCCTCCCCCAAAGAAAGGGGGTAAGGGAGGAGAATCAATCCTGATGCACACCGTTCATTCATTCAGACATTCAGCAAAATGGTATCCAGTGTCTGGTATTAAGTAGAGTGGTGTACTTCGTAACACGCGTGGCTGCTAACTGAAACATTGGAGTCTCACCCTAGGGAAAAAAGAAAGTGATTTACTTTTGAAAATTGAACTGTGTAAAGCAGAAGAAGCAGTTCTGGTCTGATACACAAGAGGAACCATTACGCAGAACCAACCTGTTTTGATTCTGACCAATTGGTATTTTGAACTTCTGCTGGGTTCCCTCTCTCCTTCATGTGAGGGTTAGAGTACCTGCATGCACTCAAGCATGCGCACATACACATACTGCATTCACATGCACACCTGGCAATACCTGTGTGGAATCTGTGTACATATACACAAAGGCCTCCACGCCCTCACTCGGGGGTGGGGGGAGTGGTCCCTCCTTCCAGTCAAACATTGCCGGGACGTCTGATGATGAGAACTACAAAGCCTCCTGGATTAGACAGTGTATATGCCTGACTCAAAACCCTCCTGCTCAAAGCTTTATCCCTCAGCCTCCCTCTCACCACCACCTCCTCCATAAAAGGGTGAGTGTGTGCATGTGTAAACCCCTTCCACAAAGGCTAGGCCACTGGTAATGCAGTCTCTTAAAGAAAGGCTCTCTACTTTCAAACCTGCAGACACAATTCAAACTTGCCTGCTCCTCAGAGCTTCCTGCAACTGGTTGAAGACCCAGCCCAACACCTGTTTCCATGTCCTATCTCTGTGTGTCATGGTGCCCTCACAATCCCCTATGACAGCCATCACAGGTGCAGTTAGCCTTGTGGTATCTGTTTCCCCAGCAGAGTGGAATCTCTCTAAAAATACGGACAAGAGAAGAGTTCCAGTTTGACTGGTAAGACCCTGTTTTCAAAGACAGGACTGTTGGGTTCAAAACCAGCTGTGTGACCTGCAACAAGTGACTTACCCAACCTGAACCTCAAGCTGGCATTAAAAAATGGGGTTGATAAAATGAATGAATGAAATCCAAAGTCTCTGTAAATTTTCATTAAAATTAATGATATTTTTTAAAAAAATGGTGTTGATGACATTAAAAACTGGGGTTGATGAACGTCTCTAGAGAACTACTGTAAAAATGAAATGAGATTGTATTTGAGCCTCAGAAAAAGTAGGTATATTTTTCTCCACTGCATTCTCACTGCCTAGAAGTTACAAGTTTATTTCATATGTATAAAAAAACCTGTGGTGATAGAACCCAGAGGGAGTTGCTCTGCTAACTCCAAGGCCATACTTCTCTGGCAGTTCGAGTCCACCAACAAAAATTCCCCAGGAGAAAGATTCACAGTCTCCTCCAGTGTGGTTTACAACCTCGGAACCCCAATAATAGAGGGTCAAGTATGAAACAGAACCAACTCAACAACAATGGGTTTTGTGACTATTAACATGTGCTTGTTGTTATGT